GGGAGAACAAGTATAAGTTTCCATGTGAGGGAGAACAAGTATAAGTTTCCATGTGAGGGAGAACAAGTATAAGTTTCCCAGGGAGGGAGAACAAGTGCAAGTTTCCATGTGAGGGAGAACAAGTATAAGTTTCCCAGGGAGGGAGAACAAGTATAAGTTTCCAGGGAGGGAGAACAAGTATAAGTTTCCCAGGGAGGGAGAACAAGTATAAGTTTCCATGGAGGGAGAACAAGTATAAGTTTCCAGTGAGGGAGAACAAGTATAAGTTTCCCAGGGAGGGAGAACAAGTATAAGTTTCCAGTGAGGGAGAACAAGTATAAGTTTCCCAGGGAGGAGAACAAGTATAAGTTTCCAGGGAGGGAGAACAAGTATAAGTTTCCAGGGAGGGAGAACAAGTATAAGTTTCCCAGGGAGGGAGAACAAGTTAAGTTTCCATGGAGGGAGAACAAGTATAAGTTTCCCGAGGGGAACAAGTATAGTTTCAGGAGGGAGAACAAGTATAAGTTTCCCTGTGAGGGAGAACAAGTATAAGTTTCCCAGGGAGGGAGAACAAGTGTAAGTTTCCCAGGGAGGGAGAACAAGTATAAGTTTCCCAGTGAGGGAGAACAAGTAAAGTTTCCATGTGAGGGAGAACAAGTATAAGTTTCCAGGAGGGAGAACAAGTAAGTTTCCCAGGGAGGGAGAACAAGTATAAGTTTCCATGTGAGGGAGAACAAGTAAAGTTTCCATGGAGGGAGAACAAGTATAAGTTTCCCAGGAGGGAGAACAAGTCATAAGTTTCCAGAGGGAACAAGTGAAGTTCCAGGAGGAGAACAAGTATAAGTTTCCATGTGAGGGAGAACAAGTATAAGTTTCCCTTAGGGAGGGAGAACAAGTGCAAATTTCCCAGGAGGGAGAACAAGTAAAGTTTCCCAGGGAGGGAGAACAAGTATAAGTTTCCCAGGAGGGAGAACAAGTATAAGTTTCCCATGTGAGGGAGAACAAGTATAAGTTTCCCAGGGAGGGAGAACAAGTGCAAGTTTCCCAGGGAGGGAGAACAAGTATAAGATTCCATGTGAGGGAGAACAAGTACAAGTTTCCATGTGAGGGAGAACAAGTGCAAATTTCCCAGGGAGGGAGAACAAGTGCAAGTTTCCCAGGGAGGGAGAACAAGTATAAGTTTCCATGTGAGGGAGAACAAGTGCAAGTTTCCCAGGGAGGGAGAACAAGTATAAGTTTCCATGTGAGGGAGAACAAGTACAAGTTTCCATGTGAGGGAGAACAAGTACAAGTTTCCATGTGAGGGAGAACAAGTGCAAGTTTCCCAGGGAGGGAGAACAAGTATAAGTTTCCCAGGGAGGGAGAACAAGTGTGTGTTTCCAAGTGGTGGGAGAGCAGGTGTGCATTTCTACACGTGTGTATGTACTCCTAATACCTGGAGTGATATATAAATTACGAAAAAAAGTGTTAAAAAATAAGCGAGAAAGACTAGGATAATGAAGTAGGAGGGAGTGAAGCGTACTATACGATGTATTAGTGTAGAGTAATAATAAACATTTGCATATAAGGCAAAATAGAGGATAAGTATGAATATTAAAAAGGAAAATGGATATATATAAACCTGACGAAGTATACTGACTAGGGAATAATCTATGATGAAATAATAATGAAAGCCTACAAGACGTCAATAATTAATAAGGTGGAAAAGATTAAAGATAAATGGTTATGAAAGACTAATATTACAAAATAAACTATGAAGAGATTTAGTGGAAGACTGGGAAGAGAGGAGAGCTACTGGGGAAAGTATAACTGGATGGCAGAATGAGGCAGAACATTCTGAACACGGAGGAGGGATCACGAAGGGAAACGGTAGTGGCGAAGATCAAGAGGAATGCAGTTATGGACAAGGAAGAGGTAAATTTATTATTATATAAACAGCTATAAGAGACGAAAATTAATTAACATTAAGAAATAAAAAAAAAATGAAGAGAGGATGGAAGGAGAGGAGAAGATAAGGGCGAGAAGGGTAATAGTAATACAGGTAGGAGTATTTTGTAGCAAAATAAGTAGTTAGCATTAATATAGTATAAGTAGTAGTTAGCAACAAACATAGCAGTGTGATACACGAAAACAAAAGGACAAAACTAAATAAGGAAGTGGTAAGGCATTTGAAGGCGGTGCCTCCCGCTGTGGGTGAGGAGGTTACCCATGCCTGGAGAGGTTGAGTTGAGAGGTGGCTGTCCTCAGGTTGGTCAGGTTGTGCATGGAGCCGCTGTTGGCACGTCTGCAAGGCAACAAAGACGACCAGGCAGGGTTAGCGGGGGCCAGGTAGTCGCAGGGGGGCCAAACAGCAACAGACAGCCAAAAAGGGGAGGGATCATTATCGAACTGGATGATTTGAAAAGCATAGGCAGCCATTTCGAAGCTTTTCTAAATTACTCTTTTGACAGATTGTCCAGAGCATCTGCCACACTCATATGAATATATAGGTACATTACAAACATTCACTTACACACCACAAATACTACAAGAAACAAGCAATAAAAGCCTCAAGATTATATGAAGCAAATATAAGACAAAAAAAAGCAATGCTCTATAAACTACTTATATACATTCCTACTACGAACTGAATATCAGTTAAAGTAATCTTTAACATAAAGCAATACACTTAAAGGTACAAGGACAAAAGTAACCTTTAATGTATTTACACAAGCCAGCTTTAACTCGTCTGTGAGCTACAAGTGCTATAATGACGCTATTTAAGAAAAAAATTCACCGGTGAAGAACATGGTATGTTTGGCAGGTAAAAGTGTTATAATGGCGCAATATAAGGAAAGGAATTTAATGGTGGAAAACAATGTGGGTTTGGCAAATACTACCAACAACTACGAGTGTTATAATGGCGCAATGTAAGGAAAGGAATTCAATGGTGGAAAACAATGTGGGTTTGGCAAATACTACCAACAACTACGAGTGTTTGGTGAAAGTGTTATAATGGCGCAATATAACGAAAGGAATTCACTGGAAGAAACCAATGTGTTTGGCAAGTGCTACTAGTAACTAAGAAGTGTAGTGTGGCTCGACCCATGACTGTCAACAACTTACAGAATTCTACTAACAAAACGTTGCCTATTACCTTTCTTCGCGCGTCTCTGGAGTTACTAACGTAACAATAACTCAAGCTAGCTAAGTATATACCATGCACAGTCAGTTCATGCAATTTAGAACATGCAAGACTAATCATTGGTCATTACATAAAATTAATTTTGCATACATTTATACACACACTCAGTGTTAAATATTCTGTTTATACTAATGGTTTCACATTAAAAAATAAACATATGCACGAGTATTTTATCAATGCTTCTGTAAAAATACTGACAGCAAGAAAATTTTGCTTCCATAATAGTAAATAAATTTACGTCCACAACAAAATACACTTGTATTATATAAGCATGTAACACAAGCAGTTTTTATGGCAACTGTATGAGAGTAATCGGCTAGTGAGGTGGGGGGGGGGGGGATCCCAGCCCCTAGGGTCTCAGTTCCACTTAGTTTACGTCAACAATATGAGACTAACTTACAATTCCTTGGATCAAGTCTCGGACTGTAGCTTCGTGTCCTCTCGTCCACGACCTGTGTCAAACAGCTTTTCTTTGTTTGTTTAGTCTGTTTACCTGGAGAGAGTTTCGGGGGTCAACGCCCCCGCGGCCCGGTCTGTGACCAGGCCTCCTGGTGGATCAGCCCCTGATCAACCAGGCTGTTGCTGCTGGCTGCACGCAAACCAACGTACGAGCCACAGCCCGGCTGATCAGGAACTGACTTTAGGTGATTGTCCAGTGCCAGCTTGAAGACTGCCAGGGGTCTGTTGGTAATCCCCCTTATGTATGCTGGGAGGCAGTTGAACAGTCTCGGGCCCCTGACACTTATTGTATGGTCTCTTAACGTGCTAGTGACACCCCTGCTTTTCATTGGGGGGATGGTGCATCGTCTGCCAAGTCTTTTGCTTTCGTAGTGAGTGATTTTCGTGTGCAAGTTCGGTACTAGTCCCTCTAGGATTTTCCAGGTGTATATAATCATGTATCTCTCCCTCCTGCGTTCCAGGGAATACAGGTTTAGAAACCTCAAGCGCCCCAGTAATTGAGGTGTTTTATCTCCGTTATGCGGGCCGTGAAAGTTCTCTGTACATTTTCTAGGTCGGCAATTTCACCTGCCTTGAAAGGTGCTGTTAGAGTGCAGCAATATTCCAGCCTAGATAGAACAAGTGACCTGAAGAGTGTCATCATGGGCTTGGCCTCCCTAGTTTTGAAGGTTCTCATTATCCATCCTGTCATTTTTCTAGCAGATGCGATTGATACAATGTTATGGTCCTTGAAGGTGAGATCCTCCGACATAATCACTCCCAGGTCTTTGACGTTGGTGTTTCGCTCTATTTTGTGGCCAGAATTTGTTTTGTACTCTGATGAAGATTTAATTTCCTCATGTTTACCATATCTGAGTAATTGAAATTTCTCATCTGTGCGCCGGAATATTTTACATGTCGTGATCATGTTTCCTCTTGATCCTCTGATCATAAAATCAAGTTCATGTAGTCTCCAGCTCCAGAACGAATCAGGTGATGAGCCTATAAACTTTCTAGGGATTCAATAAGCTTTTGACAAGGAGTGAGGTTCATACTGGTTTTGCAGTTACAAACTGCTATTACATATGTGACAAATATTGATTTGCAATATTCATTGTCCAGGTTCGTAAAGGTCATTCTTATGTTCGTTATTCTGACGTACTATTACGTATATGACAAATACTGAGCAGAAATATTCACTGTTCATGTTCCGAGACGTTACTGATGTTATGCATTTCTTTGGAATTCAACTTGAAAAGAACTTGTTGATCATTCATGCAGCCGTCAAGGTGTTCCTACAGTCATCTTCCGTTGGTATTTTCTTCATTAGATTTACACATTTTCTTCTGATAATTCATTTACATATAAAAGGAACAGTATAGGATCAAGGATTGATCCTTAGGGAACTCTCCTCCTTGCATTTACCCCTCCTGGGGTTTAGTTTCTCCGTGACTCATCTTCTGTCTTCGATGCATTCCTTAATACGTTCTATCACTTTTCTTGAATATTGGGGATATAATAGCCATCAACCAAATGTGTGGGGAAAATTCTCCAGTAAACGGGGTATCTCTCAGCCCCCCTCAATCCTCTGAAGGACTTAGCCCTCCCGGAAGGGGCTAGTGGACTTTTCCTCGCAAACAGCTTTATTAGAACTACATAAGTACCAGGCATCTCTATGCACGGCTCTCTCCTTGCAAGAATTTCTGAACAATGAACAAGGACACAGTGAGGGTTAAACGAGAGTAATTACTCTTTTCCCCTTAGTAGGAAAATTAAGAGAAAACCTGCGCCCCACTTGTCTACAAGTTGGGGACATTATAACTTCTAGCATACAGCTAAACAAAAAGGAAACAACCTTCTTGTGTTATTCCTTGTTGCAATGTGTAGTAAGGAAGAGATACACAGCTGAACTCAGCAATTCTTTTGTGCGGACGATGAACTGGTGGGCGTTGGGCAGGGCGACAAGCTAGGTGGAATTCAGATACCAGAGCGTGAACACGTCATTAATCTCCCGCTGAGAACAAAGAAAATAATGACTTTATGAGGTAAACTCTGAAATACAGTCGATCTCCACTAGGAAAACTAGTGTTAAACTCTGAAATACTGTCAATCTCCACTAGGAAAACTAGTGTTAAAAAGAAACACGAGTGTATAATCCGCGGTATAATCCCGATAAAGTGTAAAAGTCTGTGTCGCGGTATGCATTCAGGTGTTATGAACAAAGAGACAAGATGTCATCCTATCGCGTAACGAATGACCTAAGTGACTCCCTATCAACGAGTGAGGACAATATAACTACGCATATGTAGGAACCTACTTCAGACAACGATACCAGGGTCACACTTCCCCTACAAGAAACTAGGGGAAACTGGGTCAGTTACAATACCCAGGTAAGTCCAGCCATACCCACACTAGCTGCAGCTAATAGGCAGAGGTGAGATTTGACTGAAATTGCCAATAGATCCCGTGACGTGAGAGTGATTCACCCAAAACCGAGTACCACTACGCATTTCAGATAATTGTGAAATGCTGATATACGCTCCTTTGGGACAAATTATATGAATAACTTGTTAATCAACAGCCGTTGTGGACACTGAGACGGCACCCCGAAGGGATTTCCAGGGAGAGGCTGCTGGAAATCATGCTGTTAAAAGATAAGTAATGCTTGTCTTATGTTTGTTTCATGCAGAAAAGTGTACTTATCTAACCAGTTCTCCACAAAGTGCCTGCAGTTCTAGTCTATAGTACTGTGATGTAGATGCGGGTCAGGAGCTTAATTCGAACCTCAGTTACCCTCTTTCATCATGAAAAAACAATTCTGTTATATCTTACTGTGGTTTATGTAACCAGAGCTCCAACTCTTGGTCAACATCTTGTTTATCAGTAACCTGTTTAATGTATCCCATGATGTTATATTTACACTCAATTGATTTATGAGGCTTAATTAACTCAAATTATTTAGGATGACTTACTAATTGACTACGCCCACAGGATGGGTATAAGGTGCATAATAAAGCGGCGAAGATCATTCAGGAGTAACGAACTGACAACACGCTAAAAAAAATAAGTATATAGATTGCATAATGTGGTATTAGTAGCAATCATCATCTTCATGTGTTTCCAGTGATCACGTCCACTCCACCAGTAGCTGCTTCCTACTGAGATATGACACTACTTGGCAGCCTTCGTTCTCCCATCAGCACCTGCTATTTGTCTGGAATTAATTCAAGTAGTCACTTGTTGGACCACCAGTAACACACAAATGTCTAGACGTTCATCATTAGCCACATGTAGCAAATTGTCTATACCCATTTGGCACTGATACTCATCAAATGGAGAATTTGTGAAAACTTAATCTGCACATTTATGAAGGGGGTGAAGGTTTTGAGTGCGCTAGTGAGCGCGTCAGATAGGAGAGGAGGCAAGTGGTCTTATGACTTAACGTGATGTTGGTGAGGAATTCAGGAAAAGCGGTTAGCCAGACTTGAATCTTGGTGGTAGGAAGTCCAGTGCCTGCACTTTGAAGGAGGGGTGAGGACACTGCAATTCAAAGAGCCATCTGAGCTGTAATGTCAGCACGTTTCTGACAAGACAAGATGTTGAGAAATGGCTTTACCAGCTAAGATATTTATAAATATAAATATAGTGAACACTTAGCTGAT